ATACCCTTGATTAAAGTATACACCCGTTGAACGATGTTTGGGGCCTCTTAGATATAAGTCCTTGGATACTGAAGGGACAGTGGGCTCTGCGAGCAGTAATTAGTAAGGACTCCGCCTCCAAAACCGGAGGCCGTAGACCCTCAATCGCAGAAAACCCTGAACCGCCCAAGCCTAAGGGTTTAGGGCTTAGACCTCTGCTGGCACAAACCTGGGCCATGCAAACAACCGGTATTGTAGCAGCAATGTTAAGTCCCAAACCATAAAACTGCAAACCGTAGTAAACGGGCCAAAACCCAAACAAAACGTAGTAAACGGGCCAAAACCCAAAAACAACCGTAGTAAACTGGCCAAAAACCCAAAAACAACCGTAGTAAACGGGCCAAAACCCAAAAACAAAAATGCACAGTCAGCTTCCAAATGGCTCAGCACGACCATCGCATGGTCTGCGTGAGCACAGGTCCTCGTCTTCTAGGGCGAATGCGCGCGACATCGGATTCACGCTTGCTTGTGGGGTTTAGAGCTTAGGGTTTTAGGTTTTAGGTTTTAGGGTTTAGGGTTTAGGGTTCAGGGTTTTTAGGGTTTAGGGTTTAGGGCTTACCATCGTATAGTATAGGGGTGTTAATACATAGAATTCGGTCTTCGGGAAAATTACACAACAACTATCCAACGTTTATCAGGTGGATTACCGGACCTGCGGGCGGAGGGCTAGTGTTTAGGGTTTAGGGTTTAGGGTTTAGGGTTTAGGGTTTAGGGACTCAGCCAGGGAACAGCGTCTGTTTCTCAGACTTGTCTTGATACTTGTCCGTGGTGTTGGAGCGGTAGAAATCCTGAGCCCAAGAGTACTTGCGATCGGCTTAGGTTTTAAGGTTTGGGGTTTAGGGTGTAGGGTTTGGGGTTTTGGGTTTAGGGTCCTAGTTCAGTACTACGAAATGGCCAACATCTTCCTAAAAAAACGCCAGAGATCTTCCTTAAATCTTGCAAGAGCTGTGGCGGTCTCCGTGTCACCTTCAAGGCACTTTGACCGAACATACAGGATCTTGGGCTGGCTTTTGATGACCACGAACATGTAAACTTGTTCCTAAACTCCTCCTTAAGGCTCTTAAGAGGGTCTTGGGCTTTCTGGGGGAGGGTTTCGGCTTTGGGGGCTAGGGTTTGTGATCTCACTACAAGGGTCCAGGAGCCTTAGGGCTAAAATTTCAAAATCTCCCTAAGGAACACCCAGTCACGCGGCAGGAAGGTGAGTGGGAACTGGCAAGTCAGAAGTAGGCGCTTCTCACCAGTGCCTTCCACACGAACCACCTTGGCTGCGAAACTTACGGCCCAGAGTGCCCAATAACCTTAAACTAAATCAACTATCTGACTGTCTGCCTATCTATCTACCAATAGACAAGTCTTATTGATATTGGGCTTGCTCAACTGCCCTGGCCTAGGAAATCAGCACTGCTTCAATGCCACGTTTCATGCGTTCAAATCCAGTTTAAGCCGAGGTGCAGTCTCGTGGAGCATGCCAGTGTCTTCACTGCTTGCACTTGCAGTGTGGTGCAACAAGTGGAACATCGCCACTGTCTGAGCAGGAGATAATGTCTCATCAGTCATGCTGGCAATCGGAAAGCGGGCCGTCGCACTGTGCGTGTTCTTTCTCTCCGATTTGGTCGTCCACTTCTTCTGAGACGCGTTATAGGTTGACACGTTCTCGTAGTGATAGTTCCTTTCTTACCCAATGCTCTTGGGGGAAAACGGGCTCGAAAGAATACTAAACTTGAAAAGCCCGGCGAGGTTAAGAGTTTGATATTGGAAAATTGGGTAACCTCTTACGAACCCTCATAATGCCTTATAAAACCTCTTACAAGACCCTGAAAGCCGCTATAAACCTGTATGGCCCCATTGGAAAGCTGAGGCTCTGAATGCTGAAGGTAAGGATCGGGTCGGCTTTCTGAATAGTGTCGATGTAGTTGACGAAATCCTGCCGAGCCCAAGTTTCTGATTGTTACAGGTTTCGTCGGGCATAAAAGGGTCCAATAAGGTTCCAAATCTCAAGTTTTTACAGTATCTTCAAAACTGGTGTCATGTGATTTAGTCTTTAGCTGGGTGGTTCTTTTTACGGGGGTAGGAGTTTTGACGGCTTGTGGTTTAGAGATTTGGGAACTAGAGTTCCGGGGTTCAGGGCTTCTACTTGGAGGATCATGGGACTTAGTAAGTAAGGTTATAAGTACCCTAATTGGGGTTACAATTATAGTTACCTTTTGTATAACCCTCGTTACTAAGTCCCATGATCCTCCAAGTAGCCATGAATGTCCCAAATCATTCGTGAAGCCCCTTAGGGCTTGGGGTTTAGGGTCGTGAAGCCCCTGTCTCGCCACATGCCTCCTCGCTCTGCACATGGGACAGATATCTGCAAGCCTTGCTCTGGCACAGCTCCAGAAGGTAGATAATATATCCTGTGCGTCGAAGAGTGGCGTAAGCTTTCCGGTGCTGTTTGGGGTCTAGCAATTGTTTTAACATACACCCTGATAACGACTGTCAGATCCCTACAACTAGTACTCGCTTGCAACCAGTATACCAACAATATCGCAACCAGGAGTAACAATAATTGTGCAAAGGGCGAACAGTTAACAACAAGTGTGACAATTGTTTTTTACACAGAAGTGCATATTGTAGCATGACTGATTCGAGTAATAGAACAAGAACTCCACACGTCAAGCGGCCTCCCCGCAAAATGGCACAACATTGCGTGTAGAAAAAACTGCGACCATGACCCGCCCCTATAAATCCAACAATGTCAACCCCAAAGACCCTAAACACTAAACCCTTTAATCCAGTCTCTGAACCCTGAATGTCCTAAATCTCAATGCCAAATCCTCCTCCAAGGAGCCAACGAGTCCGACGTAGATGATCTCCCGGCCCAAATCCAGGGCAAAGCCACAGATGATCGCCCCGGCACCAAGGACGCCGAGGATCCAGGCAACCAGGGCGAAACCTTGTCAGCTCGCTCTTTGGGTTAGCGCGAAAGTTAAGGCCCGAACTTCAAGGGTTGCTAAGCTACCATGAAGACAGTATAGTAGTTCCCGCTCCCTACTTACATTCATATTCGTGATCTAACTGGGGTAGGTTTCAACAATAATTTGACATTTGACTGCTAATCCCCTAAACCCTAAAACCCTAAACCCCTAAACCTTAAACCCTAAACCCTAAACCCCTAAACCCTAAACCCCTTATGTCATGAACTCGTCCACTTGCAGGACCAACACGCAGGGCCAGCTCCACATATTCGGCGAGCAGGAAATGGAACCACGCGTTTTTTGAAGATTTCTTCACAAAAGGAATGAAAGCTTGTCAATAGATTCCTTGGGGTTCCTTATTATAACTATGTACTACAATATACATACCCCAAAACCCTGTTCGAATTATTCAGGCCCCTATACTATCCCAAGAAGAGGCCAGGGAACCCCCCCCTGATCCTCGAAGCAGGATCTCCATCAACGTGCCCCTAAACCCGAAAACATAGGCCAGCTTTGGCCGAGTGGCAGCCAATGTCCTCGTGGGTGCTCCTCGGATGCCCATCTTTCGGATGCCCATTTTTCAACTTGCGCAGTTTAGATGACAGGTTTTGGGGCTGAGGGCTTAGCGCTCAGGGTCTAGGGACTACGGTTTGAAATCTAGGGGTTTCGGTGAAGTTTAGGCTTCAGGCTTCACAAAGTAACGGGCGGGGTTTTGAGACCCTGAACCTGGGCGCCTGGGATTTAGGGCACGGATTTGAAGGCCCTCCTTTGTAGGGGCTTAGGGGGGCAGAGGGGCCTTGGTGATTGGAATACGGTTTCTAGTATCGAAACGTAGCATTGTTGTATGACTCTACCGGGGATATTGTTACAAATTTCGGACCCATATACTACTGACCGCCTTCGACCACTTCGCACAAACTAGTTCTAGGATCATTCAGGGCTTACTTACTTTGTTTTATACCTCCTTTGAACCACCCTTGCTGAAGGATACCATAGACTCAGAGGACTGCACGGGGTTTTCCATAGTCTTGGAAGGGGATATAGAAAGAGTAGAGATTTTGGGTTTGAGGGTTTTTGGTGGTTTTTGCGGTTGCGATGTAGGGCTTTATCACCGGAGAGACAACTTAGTTTGTTCGAAGGAGACAGGGTAGTGGGAGTAGTGGGAGTTTTGCACATGCGGACCAGCCGTCTTTGTACGGCCTTTTATTGATACCTTGTTGTTTTCTGTCCTTTGGTGCCGATAAACCCCTAAACCCTAAACCCTAAACCCCCTAAACCCTAATAACCATTTCAAACCACAATGATCACCACATTCAGCTAGAAAAATAGAAACACACCCTGAACCGTCAATCTTGCAGCTTCCCCTATGTACATGTTACAAGCCCTTCGATAACTGCACGATTGCCCTGAGACAACTCCCCATGGAAGAAGCAGCCCTGATTCTCTTGGGACGAGGCTCCCTGAAACCCTAAACCCTTTGATCCGAATTCTCTACAAAACCCCGCAGCCCCATAATGCTATAGGCCTTACACCCTGCCTTTCCTGAGGCAACTCTCTACACCCTAACCTCTGAAACACTACGCCCGACACCCTGCCTTTCTTAAGGCCAAGCTCTAAGCCCTAAACCTGAAAGACACTAAGCCCTGTAGCCCTCTACTTGGAGGATCATGGGACTTAGTAAGTAAGGTTATAAGTACCCTAATTGGGGTTATAATTATAGTTACCTTATTTATAACCCTAGTTACTAAGTCCCATGATCCTCCAAGTACCCTAAACCCAAACC